ACCCTTTTTGCGTTGGTTTGGGGCGAAAACCCCGGGAAGGCCCCCAAAAATAAGGAGGGAAAAGGATACCCCCCGCTTTTTTATTTTCCCAAAAAATAAAACCGGAAAGGGCGGTACATGTATGGGTTTGGGGAGGCCGTTTGTAAAATACAAAACTGGGGGGGGGAAAAAGGGTAAAAATGTGGAAATTCCTTGGTGCCCAGGGCCAGTTTGGGGTTGGTTTGGGGCCCCGATTCCCCGGGGGGGGGGGGGGGTTGCAGGGAGGTTGCAGCCCAAAGTGTGCAAGTTATCCCGCATCTTGGATAGCGGCGTTATTTCAACCAGCACGGTGGGCTGCAAGCCTGAAGAAAAAATGGGTTCAAGGTCGAACTCGGCCTCCCAACCTCCCCCCCTAGGTTGTGGTTGGTGCCCAACCTGCCCCTCTGGCCACCAGTAATAGTCCAGAGGTAGGTCAGAACCGTTGAAAGCGAAGAATACAACGAAAGCAATAGCGATAACAGCAACAACAAGAGAAAAAAAAGCACAACAACGACGGACGAGCAGCAGCAGTACCATTAGCGCCAGCAGGAGTGAAAACACAACAGTAGTAACACGCTCAGGGTTTCTCTCTCTAGTTCCCCACCCACTCACTCCCATCCTCTTTCTCCCTCTCTCTCTTTTCTGCACGTCTGTCCGTGTGTCTTTTTCTCTCTCCCTCACTCCCTGCCTGCCACTCTCTCTCACCGGACAGGTATTCGTGCGTGTGAACGCGCAACGCCCCCTCCACCTGGATGCTGGTCACCACCCTGTAGTCCCGCGTGTCGAGCATCTGGATTTTCATTCGGGGTCGCCCGCAACCCAGACCGGACGAGGCACAGCGGTTGTGATATATACCACCAGAGAAACAGACGGGGGGGGGGGGGGGGGGGGGGGGGGGACCCCTTTTTTTCCCCCCCTTACGGGGAAAAAAATTTTCCCCTGTCCCCCGGAAAAATTTGGGGGGGGCCCCCCCCAAAAAAAAAAAGGGGGCCCCAAAGGGGGGGTTTTTTTTGTGGGCCCCAACACCCCCCCCCCCTTTTTAACCCCAAAAACCCCCTTTTGGGGGGGGAAAAATTTTCCCCCCCCCCTTTTCCCCCCCCCCGCCAAAAAAATTTTTAACCCAAAAAATGGGCCCCCCCTTTTTCCCCGAATTTTAAAAAAAACCGGGGGTTCCCCCCCCCCCCCACCCCCCCCCCCGGGAAACCCAAATTCCCCCAAAAAAAAATTTTCCCTTTTAAAAAAAACCCCACCCCCCCCCTTTTTTTTTGCCCCTGGCCCCCCCCGGAAACCCCATTTTTTTACCCGG